ATAAGGTCTCTGCCAGGGGAAATACAGCGGTCCCCAGGTAAAAAGGGGACTAAGCAGCCGAGAGGGAAAAAGGGTCCAGAACTCACATCTCACCCACTAGGAACCCTCCTATGGGGTCCTTGTCCCCTCCTCTCGCCATAGGCAAAGACCTGAGGACCCCTAGAGGTCAGGGAACATTTTATCTAGACTTTAATGTAAACAATCTAATCCAGGTTATTTAAAAATGAGGGTGTGTGCAGCACTTTAAATCACCTGCCAAGAAACAGGTCTTATCAGGGCCAGGTGGGGTTTGACTCTTACATCTGCACAATCGGAACCCTGGGTTTAAAACTGAAAATCTCCACTCTAGTGGCAGAGAAAAGACCAGTCTTATAGTACCTTGGGGTTGTCATTCTTACTACATTTAAAAAACCAAAAACCTATTGCTGATTCCCACTCATAGCAACCCTACAGGACAGAGTAGAATTGCCCCACAAGGTTTCCAGGGAGTGGCTGGTGGATTCGAACTGCTTTTTGGTGAGGAGATGAGCTCTTAAACCACTGTGGCACCAGGGCTCCAGTGCTACATTTAGGCATCCCAAAATAGAGATTTAAAAAATCTCAACGTCTCCCTCTTTGTGCCCTCTCCAAACACTCCATGAGGAAAAACACCTACTTAGACACAGAAGGATTTAGGAACGGTTAGGAGGATCATCAACATCATTTAATGGAGCCACTCAGAACTGCAGATCTGTGGCTGAGAAATCCCAACCCCTTCTGTCTGTGCTTCTGACAGACACTTTGTTATTAACTGCCCATTAGGCTCCACCTCATGGAGATCCTATGTATACCAGAGTGAAAATTTGCTCTGTCCTGTGTCATCTTCATGATCACAGGCATGTTCGATGCCTATAGGGCAATATTCTGTTCTGATCCATAAGGATATCATTGGCTAATTTTAGAAATAGATTGCCAGGCATTTCTTCCTAGTCTGTCTTAGTCTAGAACCCCACTGAAACCTGTCCATGTGGGTGACCCTGCTGGTATTTGAAATACCGGTGGCATAGATCCCAGCCATCACAGCAACATGTAAGACACCACAGTACAACAAAGGGACAGATGGGTTGGGGCTCAAAGAGACTAAACCAGAAGAAAAACCAAACCCACTGTCGCTGAATCAACCCTGACTCATAGCAACCCTAAAGGGCAGAGCAGAACTGCTCCATAGGGTTCCGAAGGCTATAAATCTTTACGGAAGCAGACTGCGACATCTTTCTACTGCACAGCAGCTGGAGGGTTCCAACTGCTGACCCTTCAGTTAGCAGCTGAGGGCTTTAACCACTGCGCCACGAGGGTTCCTTCAGAGACTAGGCCCCATAAAATGCTTGTCCATAAATGGAAGGGCCTTAAAGGGCTAGGAATTGTATCATTAATATTACAGTTAAACACTTGAACCATATGTTTAAAACTGAAAGTTTTCCATCTACATGCAAAAATAAAAAAAGACTTTAAGCAGTTTGGTTCTTTTCATCACCACTTGATGAGCACTGCCTAACAAGGTAGTATTAAGTGAACTATCAGGATATTTACACATGGTTATTGGCCAAGGAAGGAGCCCCAGTGACACAGTGGTTAAGAGCTCTGCTGCTAACTGAAAGGTCAGTGGTTAGAACCCATCTAACACTACGGGAGAAAAGACCTGGAGATCTGTTCCCATAAAGATTACAGCCTAGGAAACCCTATGGTGCAGTTCTACTATGTCCCATATGGTCACTGAGTTGCAATGGACTCAACAGCACACAACATTGACCAAGGACATTCTAAGACAGAAGTGAAGTGTCCACCAGCCCTCCTGAGCTCTACCACACACGTGCACAGCCTTTGCCAACGCCTATGCCTTGGCCTCCTCTATACTATGAACTGAGTAGACTGATGTCCAGTATATATTAAGTGGGAAAAAGTACATTTATGTGAAAAAAACATGGTAAATAACCAACATACATTCATGTATGTATTTATGTATTCTGGGGGAGGGATATTTCTGAGAAACACTGAAAGGTTACACAGGAAACAAAATGGAAATGGTTAGCAACTGGTGGTGATATTAACAGAACACAGGTACTACAGGAAGAAGTCAGCCTTCTGAATACATCTTTCCATATAGTCTTCAGTTTTGAACCATGTGAAAGTTTTATATGTTAAAGGAATAACTCAAAATGAGAGCAAACCTTAAAATTAAATGTAAACAGAAACAAGTAAATGTAGTAACATATCAAACTGCCACTGCCCATCTGCAAGTTTGACATACTGTAATGGCTGGCATGTTGCTGATACAGGAAGCTATACCACCAGTATTTCAAATACCAGCAGGGTCACCCATAGTGGACAGGCATTGGTGGAGCTTACAGACTTCAACAGCCTAGGAAGAAAGACCTGGAAATCTACTTTAGAAAATTAGTCAATGAAAACCTTATGGATCACAACAGAACACTGTCTGATATAGTTCTGAAAGATGATCCCCCTAGCTTGGAAGGCACTACTCAAACATAGCAATGATCATGAAGATGGTGCAGAAATGGGCAACATTTTGTTCTGTTAGGCAGGAGGTCAAGGAGCCCTGGAGGTGCAATGGTTTAGCACTTGGCTACTAACCAAATGGTTGACAGTTCAAACCCCACCCCCAGCAGCTCCATGGGAGAAAGCCTGGCAATCTGCATCTGTAAAGATTACAGCCAAGAACCCTATGGGGGGGAAATTCTACTCTGTCACATGGAGTCGCTAAGAATTGGAATCGACTCCATGGAACACAGGAACATAAATAAGGTCACCATGAACTGCAGCCAACTCAATGGCAGGAAACAGTATCAAACTGATCACATAACCATGCACAAGAGTTTGTGCTCAAGCCAATGTTTAAGCACAGTAATCTTGGGTTAATATCCTTAATGTAGACGTATAACCAAGTACAAAAGAAAAGGCGAAAAAACTCAGTACTTCATGAAATAACTTTTTTAGTCAGTAGTACTATTAGTATTATGACATTAAAACTATTTCATTTTCAGGAACCAAGGTTTTTATTAAAAGAGAAAAGAGATGCAAATATAAAATAACAGAAAGTTACAAGATTTGCCCATTTACATTTATCCCATGAATGTTCCTTGCTTCAGCCTAACAAATCAGCCATGAACAAACATTTCTGAAAACCATTAGAATTCTTGCTTAAAACCCATCTTCCTGCCGTATTTCTGCTTGCCAACTTCAAATTAGTTAAGTTTCCAGTGCCCCACGACACCCAGAACTCATAAAAAAACTCTTGTCTTACCTTATCCTTTGGAGTTGAACTCACACTTATGCTGAGGTCTCTTTCCTATCACAACAGACTGAATAAAGTCTAGTTTGCCTGTTTAACATTGTCCAGCACCATTTTGCATATTTAACATTGTCTGGCACCATTTCTTATATGTATATAACCCTAAATTTGTATTAGGAATAAGAGTATGAATTTATGATGTAAGAAATTACGTATTTTACATGCTCACTGAAAGGCCGAGACAAAACTGATTCAATGGTAACAGGTTTTGGCTCGGTGATACCGAGCCCATGTATTGCACACACCTTGGTTTTCAAAAGGAACCAGAGGTTTGGGGAGAAAGAGTTAATTCCAGATCTGGAACAGGAAAGTGATCCCGGAACTTCTTTTGCATTCATACACTAATAAGGTTGTGTCTACAGTCTATGCGGTTGGTGCAACTAAGAAACTGAATAAACTTTAATTATTATTAATTTAAATACAACAATAAACTAGATTCCATTACTGGAAAATTATGCTTGGAGTAACCTGGGATTGTGAATCTAACTTTCAACAATAAAATTTATGAAATGTATTTCTTCTGGATTCTGGAAGATGGGGTATAAAAAAAGGAAATGTAAAATGTCTCATAAAGAAATTTATATTGATTAGTTAATTTCACTTATAATTTTTATCTTGACAATAAATGGACACATTGGGTTAAATACGATTTTTCATTAAAAATTTTACATTTATATTTTCCAATGCCTAATATGGCTACTAAAATGTTTTAAATTACATCTTTAATGTGTATTACATTTCTATTAGAACTATGCAAGACCCATCGTCTACCTTACAAAAAACACAGAAGAAAAACTAATTAAACAAAATCATAATAAAACAAATACAGTAAAATCTGTGAGAGCCGGGATGCCATGGGAGTGCCTTGCTTTACCAGGTCTTGCATGTTTTCCACGTTTGACTAGGTGCTTACCACTTTTGCTCTCTATTAAGAACCTTACATCATAAACACCCAGTGAGTTTTTCTTCTCTGACAGGTTTCTAGCTTACATAGTTTCTGGCTGGCACAGGTTTGACTGCATCAGAATGCTGAACATTTTAACATGTTACAAGATAAGCTGGAGAATGTTCTGTGTAAGACAGATTAAACAGATCTAGAAATAAAAAGGCAACATGGAGATATGGTTTGGATCCTAACTTCAAAAACCCCAACAACCATAACAGATAATTTATGGACAAACAACCGTAACAGATAATTTATGGACAACTGGATAAAATTTCATTTGTTGTGAGGGACAATAAAGATCTAGGTTGTGCTGGTAGGAAATTGACCTTATTTGTAGGAGCTTAAAGGGTGAAGCGAATGTCTGCAATTAACCTTTGGTTGTTTCATCATCATAATTCACAGACATGGACAAACTCCATACATTTATAAAGCCTCTCTAAGCCATGAATTTTTATATGATTAGTGAGGTTTGAGGAATCACAACAGAATTTCCCACATTCCATATATTCAAAAAGTTTCTGTCCAGGGTGATTTCTTAATGTATTCAGTGAGGAATGAGGAATAACTAAATGCCTTCCCACATTCCTTACATTCATAAAGTCTCTCCCACTGTGAGGTTATTTATGTTCAGCAATCACTGAAGACTGACAAAAGGCTTTGCCACATTCCTTACATTCATAAGGTCTCTCTCAACAGTGAGTTCTCCTATGTATAGTGTGAGTGCTGAGAAGTCACAAAAGGCTTTGCCACATTCCATACATCATAATGTCTCCTTCTACAGTGAGTTCTCATACGTATAGTGAGGTGTGAAGACTTATTAAAGGCTTTGCCACATTCCTTACATTCATAAGGCCTCTCTCCACTGTGAGTTCTTACATGTCTAGTGAGGTTTGAGGAGTGACTAAAGTCTTTGCCACATTTGTTACATTTGTAAGGCCTCTCGCCACTGTGAGTTCTTATATGTGAAGCCAGGTGTGAGGACTGACTAAAAGCTTTGTCACATTCCTTACACTCATAAGGTCTCTCTCCACTGTGAATTCTTATATGTCTACTTAGGTTTCAGAAAAGACTAAAGGCTTTGCCACATTCCTTACATTCATAAGGTCTGTATCCACTGTGAATCCTTACATGTCTAGTTAGGTATGAGGAAATACTAAAGGCTTTGCCACATTCCTTACATTTATAAAGCTTCTCTCCACTGTGAATTCTCATATGTGCTGTGAGGTCTAAGAACTGACTAAAGGCTTTCCCACCTTCCTTACATACACAAGGCCTCTCTCCACTATGAGTTCTTATATGTGCAGTGAGGTTTGAGGACTGACTAAAGGCTTTCCCACATTCCTTACATACATAAGGCCTCTCTCCACTGTGAATTCTCATATGTATAGTAAGGTTTGAGGAACGATGAAAGCCTTTGCCGCATTCATTACATTCACAGCATTTCTCTCCAGTAAGAGTTCCCACAGCAGTGCTGAGGTAAGAGGGACAACTGCAGGCTTCTCTACATTGCTTACACTGATAGATACTGCATCCAGAGTGAGATTTGATATGATGTTTAACTGATGAATGATTCATCAAGGATTTTCCACACTCAAGACATTCAGAAGGATATGCTTCCATAGGAGTTCTTTTTAGCACGAAAGATTTGCAATCTGGCTGAAGGTCTGTCCACAATGATTGTCTTCATTATTTTAACAGAAGTTCTCTAACAAATGCCTTCTGTTAAAAATAGGCAGCATACTGTTGGATACAAATGTTACTATTTCACCATTACCATACACATTAAACATGTATTTTTTTGCCCTGAATTGTTTCATGTTTCATAGATTAAATCATCTAGCAGACATGCTACCATTATTTTTACTGTGTTTCTAAAGTATGGTGCTCTCTAACAATTGTATTTAAGTGAAATGTTTCAAATATTAAATGGACTCACATTTATGAAAATATTGCACTGTGAAAATTCTGTGAACACACAATATTAGTGCTGGTTTTATATACACATATAAGATACCTGGATGGCACAAAAGTTTGCACTGCCATATATATGTGAGTGTGTGTGTGTATTTATACATATAATTGTTCTTATTAAGTGCCATTGAGTTGATTCCAGCTTAGTGACCCCATATGACCAAAAGGCTGGTGGTTCAAACCCACCTAGCAGCACTGCCAAGAGTCAGAATAGACAACACAGCAACAGGTTTGAGATGTGCACACATGCACACACAAAGAAACATCTCTACTCCTCACTTATCAGCTATCTCTTTATCTGACATTTCACACTTGCAACAATATAAAAAACCTATTATCAGATTATCTTGTACATTAATGAGGAGGGCCTCAGAAAATCTCGCCCTATGGTCCCTCCTGCTGACTGGGTTGCCACATCAAGCTGCTGGTCAGGGCCAGGCTCCTCTGGGGCCACAGCCTCCAGATGGACGCACAGGCAGTGCTCAGCCACAGGCACCTCTTCTGGGTTCCAATCTCCTATGTGACCTGAGGCCCTGCAACTCAAAATTGCTGTGGGGTGGAAAGGTAGGAAAAGAAAGTGCAATGGAGAAGGTGTTTGAAGAAATGCTTGTGAGTTTAATGACATCCCAAAGTGAGGCGAACTTGGCCTGAAGCCTCCACCTTGGTGGGGCTGGTTGTGTACCCAGCCAGGCTCACAGCTCCCTTGCAAAAGCCCTGAGCCTTGGTGACTCGCCAGGCCTGGAGAGCAGAACAGGCTCTGGGATCTGGAAGGCAGGGCTTGTAGGGGAGAGACTGGAGCCCTGGAGGCAGCGCCACGAAGGGAGGTCTGACCCAGCACAAGAGGAAGGTGAAGTGGTTAAACCACGGGCCCTCCAGGCACAGAGCCCGGGTTTATCCAGCTTTGTCTCCTCCAACCCTCTTTCCTCACAGAGGAACAATTCATCAATGACTCGTCACAGTAATGAGTACGTTAGTAATCTTAGCTGTTATGTCTATGATCATATTTTCTAAAAAAAATTGGACGAATGCTCTGAAAACAGAAAAAATCCTTCATTTTCACATAATGCCAATTTTTGCAAAACTATCTGGTCTTTGGAACCTAAGCATGTTGAAAAGAGAGCAGTGTGTGTGTGTGCGTATGCATACATACATGCATACATACATATACATACACATATATATGTATATATACACATGCATAAAAACTCAGGAACCCTGCTGGTTCAGTGGTTAAGCACTTGGCTACTAACCAAAAGGCTGGCAGTTTGAACCCACCAGCGGCTACGTGGAAGAAAGATGGGGCAGTCAGCTTACTTGAAGACTACAGCTACGGAAACCCAACGGGGCAGTTCAATGCTGTCCTACAGGGTCGCTATGAGTTGGAATAGACTCGACAGCAATGGGTTTTTATACATATATATGGGTGTGTATACACATATGCATGTGTGGGTGTGTATACAAATGTATAGTTGATATCACTAAGGGCTGTTAATTCCAGTTCACAGTGACCCCCATATGACAGAGGAGAACTGCCCCATAGGGTTTTCTTGACTGTAATTATTACGGAAGCAGATTGCCAGGTGTTTCTCTCCCAAAGAGCTGCTGGATAGGTTCAAACTGCCAATCTTTTGGTTAGCAATCAAGTGCTTAACTATTTGTTCCACGTGGGCTCCTTAGGTATATAAATATTTTAATGTCGTTATACCTTGTTAAGACTCTCTCCTGAAGCACTGCTGTCTCTCGCATAAATGACACCCACCTCACATGTGTTTTCTGGTTGTTATCCTGATCTTCAGTGCCATGCAATTCACGGATTTCGCCTACCATCAAGAACCAGGTGTCATTTTTCATGAATCGTACTATTATACTTTCAGTGGATAGGTTGTCTCCATCAGTAAGGTTTCGAGAAGCTGACCCAATGATTTAAGGTGAGGTTCACAACATGAAACAAAAAGGAGAGAAAACACTCAGAGGAAAAAGGTAGCTGTGAGCAAAGAAAGCTTCTGATACGTTTTGCTGTTTCCATACTTTGGCAATGTTGAGAAAGCAATTTACAAGGAAATACTTCCATGAAGATTGAGAGTGATGGTGACATACATAGGGTGTAATTAGAAGAGCAGAGTAGAAAGGTATTGGACACAATGCACATGGAACATTAGAAGAGTAAAAGGGGACAGTCTTTCTCCATGAACCAGGTGTGTTTGGTTGATGAAAGTTAGAAAAGCAAGCTCAGGTATCTGTGAAGCACATACTCCTCAACCCAAAAGAGACTTTTTCTAATTGATTTTTTCAAATCTCATTCCCTCCATACAGGCCCAGTCCTTCAAACGATTCTTGTCTCCTGGTGCCCCCAACTCAGTGGTCCTAGACAAGTGCTATCCGCACTCTCCTCAGGTCTTCCTCTTGCTACGCTGGGAGAACAAATGGGTGTAGCTGACGTGGTGATCATGGAGGAAGTCATACCATTAGGGAAGACAGGGAGGAGCAATGAACACTTCCCTGACACTAGGCCAATACTTTGGTCCTCAGGGTCTCTGGTGATTGGCAGGTATGAATTCATTTGTAGCAAAATAATCATGTCAAATTTTTTAAAAAACAAAGTAACATTCTTTATATGGTCCCAGACCACAAATATCTCTCTGTGCACCAAAGAAACCCTTGAAGTCAACACTCACATTTACAAATTTAAAGACCCTTAAGGCTTTTAACCACAATCGAAATGAGAAGTCAATTTAACACAAGAGCTCTGTATTCATGGGAAACCAAGATATGCATGTTCCAGAGATCAAATGACCGTATTTGTTTTATTTAACAATGTTTTCCCATTCCTTGGCCCATACAATGGAGTAACATCAATGAGAATGACATATTTGGTCACAAAAAAATTTTAAAAATTTAAAAATGAAGAGTTATGGCTGCTAACCAAAAGGTCGGGAGTTCAAATACACCAGGAACTCCTTAAAAACCTATGGGGCAGTTCTACCCTGTCCTATAAGGTCACTATGAGTCGGAATCGACTCGACGGCAATCGGTTTGGGTTTTTTTTTCTCCATACCTACGGAGGCCAGGCTTCTGAAGATTTCCATCATCACATCTCTGTAGAGTTGTCTCTGAGAAAGATCCAGCAATGCCCACTCTTCCTGAGTAAAGTCCACAGCCACATCCTCAACAGCCACGGAGTCCTAAAAATTCCCACATATTCTGGTTCAGCAAGGTACCACGTACTCTAGTGTGTGCCAAAGAAAGGGTGAGGCTGACAGTCCTGGGGGACTGACATTTCATGGGGATTTGACACAGGTTTTCTGTTCTACTAACGTCTACTCTAGGGGTTAGCCATCAACCTCATCCCTTCACTGTCTACATACGCTTCCCCATGGACTGCATCCTGTCTCATATACTTAACAGTACTTCAAACACAATGAACTTATCTCTCCACAGTCTGACTGTGACCAATTGTAGCCTCATTCCTCTCTATCTTTATGGTCTACTACAGTCAGAACACATAGCATCAACTGGAGAAATGCTCTATAGTGAAAGCCCTGTTTCCACATTCGGATCATCTCCTCCTTGTGAAAAAAAAGTTCACATCCTTGCACAGGACCCAGCAGAATATTTAACAAAACATGAAACACAGTGTGAAAGCAGGATGAAATGTTAACAACTGGGAAATGCTGCAGGACTGGCAGTTTTTCCTTTTGACCCTCATGAGCCATGAGGGGTCCAGTGGCCAGCACAAAGAGACAGCCCAACCCAGAGCCCTCAGCTTGTCATATTTTCTTAAAGAACTCCAGGTGATCAGGGGCTAACAGGACCACCTGCTAAAAACAAAATATTATTTTGAGGAATTCCAAATTTTTACATGTCTCTCACCTACTTTTCAATAACTCTACAGATGCAATGTTATACACTCTGTTCCTTCATGAAGACAGGCAAGGGTATTGAAAAGGTAAACAGATACCAACTGAGAGACAGGAAACGAGAATCGAGATATCATCACAATTTTCAAACTCTGAGACCAAAAGCTACTGTACAGCAATTAATTATTAGTGACTCTCCCTTCAATAGACACACACCCAGACACCCACACAAACACACACTAATGTTATAAGATGAAAAACAGCCCAATCTTTGAAGAATCAGAATAGCATGGCATTGTGTTTGCTGACCATGAAAAAGAGATTAAGATTCACATTTTCTAGAAAGTTCACTGATGTGCAGGGGATTTAGCTGTTACACTACTCGTGCATCTGAGGAAACAGAGACTTACACACCAACCCTGTGGATGCTCCACTCCAAAACTTTCTCACATCTACAGCCCTTGGAAGGCACACAAGCATGATCACCTGAACCGTGACCACTGGCATCGTCTGGGATGCAGGACTGGCCTCTGTTAAATAGCATCAACCCTTTAGCTTCCACACGTAGTGAGGACACAAAAAGCAGCTACAATGCTCTTCTGATACTACAATTTTACTGAACACTTGAGCAGCTATAAAACAGGCTACCGGGTGAAGTGAGCTGTCAAAGTCATTCTAATCAATCCTGGTATGATAGTGTCACAGCAATATTTGATCTAGTGCCACATTCAAAAGGTTCCTCCACTGCAGTGCAGCAGATTACGTATTTTAAAGCCATTAAAAACCCTAACTTCCATTCCTACAACATATTCATGATAAAATATTCCATTTATTCAACAACTACAATATTTGAAGAGATATGCAAAAAGCTTTCAGCACACTAGCTCATTATTCCTCATGCCTCTCCTAAGCAGATATTGCTTCCAATGGGTTATAGCAAGGAAAGTTACAATCAACTAATCACATGCTCAAGGTTAACCAAATGGTATGTTGCTGAGCCAGGGTCAGAATGCAGGTCAATATGCCAAAGACTAAATTCCCGACAACTACATTTCTGTGCATATGCCTACAGTTTTGTTATTCTGGCTGTTAATCCTCAATTACATGGATGATCTAGAGCCTGCAGGGTAGTGGGGACAGGAGACAAAGGAAGCTTCCTACTCAATTCAACCTGGATCTCCTCCTGGGAAATCCCAGTGTCTCAGGCAAGACTACTTCCTTTCAGGCCCTTTGTAATAATGGTGTGGCAGAGGCAGTGTCTGACCTCCTCTAACTTTACAAGGGGGAATGAGAATCAAGAACAGCCCAAGGCTGATTCCTATGAGGCAGAAATCAGACACTCCTCGTCTCTCTGCCATCTTTACTAATTCTGATACCAACTGTCCCTCCCGGGGCACTCTCTACCTCTCTTCTGCGTTCAGTAATTCATTGCAATGGCCACACGGAACTCACAGCCAATACTCATGATTATGGGGTTTATTAGAGAAGTAACCGGTTACAATTCAGGCTCAGGTAGGTTCAGGATACAGTTCTTCCATCATGACAGTCTCTTCTCAGCTGTGCCCACCAGTCCACCCCTTGCTGGCCCCTTGTCCTCTGCCCTGCTTGGGCAAGTGTTACAAACCTCTTTTAGCTCTTCCAGTAAGTAGTCCTGAAGCACCAAGTCTGCCATGAAGCCTCGGACTGAAGGCGCTCAGCTCTAGCTTTCTGGGTCAACAAACCTAGCTCCACCAAGTGCCGGGAGGCACCCTACTGCAAGCCTCCTGCCCAGAGCACTCAGCTTTCTCGCTCTGTGGGCTGGGAAGCCCACCATGCCGTCTCCCTTCAGTCTCCTGCCAGTCTCCTGGTTCTGCTGCCTGTGCTGTTGCCATTCCTCTGCTGCTGCTTCTCGCCATCTTTGGTGTTACAACTCTCTGTCTCCTGAGTCTAGGAGGGTCTCAGCATGGGGATCCCAGGTCCAAAGGACACGCTCCACTCCTGCTTCTACTTCTTTGTTGGTGTTGAGATCCTCTCTTCACACCTCTGGTATGGCTCATTTTAAGCCTAGCAGGATGGCAAAGCTGACCGACCAATCCCCTCATTTGGGTTCCATATACCTCACTAGCATGGTTCCACACAATCATTTGGTTTGAGTTACAAAGACTATGGCTAGAACGGCTAGAATATTAAGTAATTCACTGCAGCACACCCTTACATCTGGCTCTGTCATTTATTTAAACTATTTAGGTAATACTGACACAGAGCCTACTTCACATGGGCAAAGCAGACACAGCACTGAACAAACCAGAAATATCCAGATACACATGGATCATAACTTCTTTGGGTGTGCATAGTAAAGAAACAAAATATAATGTCAAGTTCCCTAAGTGGCGCAAGTAGTAAGCGTATGACTGCTAGTCAAAAGGCTGGTGGTTCAAAGCCACCCAGAGGTTCCTTGGAAGACAGGTCTGGGAATCTGCTCTGACAGATCAGAGCCTTGAAAACCCTATGGGGCTCTGCACACATGGGGTCACTATGAGTCAGAACTGACTTCACAGCAACTGTTATGGATGGAATTATGTCTCCAAAAAATATGTGTCAACTTGGCTAGGCCATGATTCCTAGTACTGTGGGGCTGTCCTCCATTTTCTTATCTGGTGTAGTTACCTATGTGTTGTAAATAGTTAATCTCTAAGATGTTAATGAGATAAGATTAGAGGCAGTTATGTTAAGGAAGCAGGACAAAATCTACAGGATTAGATTGTATCTTGAGTCAATCTCTTTTGAGATATAAAAGAGAGAAGCGAGCAGGGGTGGGGGGGTGGCAGGGATACCTTCTGCCACCAAGCAAGAAGAGCCAGGAGTGAAGAAAGTCCTTTGGACCTGGGATCCCTGCACTGAGAAACTCTTACACCAGGGGAAGACTGATGACAAAGACCTTCCTCCAGGGTCCAGAGACAGAAAGCCTTCCCCTGGAGCTGGTACCCTCAATTCAGACTTCCAAACACCTAAACTGTGAAAGAATAAATTTCTGTTCATTAAAGCCACCCACTTGTGGTACTTCTGTTATAGCAGCACTAGATAACTAAGACAGCAACTAACAACAACAATATAATGTCATGTGGTAGTAAGTTCTATGAAAAATGCAGCACGGTCAGGGGATAAGCAGTAACAGAAGAATATTTATTTTTACTGAGTCAGTGTAGAGAAAAGCAAAATAATCATTTTAGGAAACACAACCTAGTGAAACCTGGCTTGGGAAGGAAAAATAAATACATTTTTTAAATCTATAAATGTGGAAGCGCTCTGTGATGATTGTGCAAACACTCATATATATTTCAGATGCTCATCGACTTTAACAACTTCCAGTGTAGGAGTAGAGCAATGAAAGAGTGCCACTGACCTTCATGTGTTGGAAAGAGAAGATACACTGGTTACTCACAAAATGAAAAGGTCATTAGCAAAAGGTAAACTGGGCCACTGGAACAATAAAAGCAGCATGAATAAATACTATGAAAAAAGTAAAAGAAAATAGACAATAGTAATGATACAAAACACAAATGAAGACTTTCAGGTTTTGGTCTGATAAGAACTTGGAAGTCATCACTATCATCCTCAAGAAAAAAGCTGAACATATGAAACCAAGAGTTTGAGGTCATAGGAAAAGGACTGCCCCCAAAAGTGGAGGGACACATAGGCAGATACAATCATTCCAGAGCAGAAGCCCAGGAGCACAGTGCCTACGTGTCCCTCCAGTTTTGGGGGCAGTCGTTTGCCCTGAGACTTCAATAGCCTAATTAATTCAATTCATTGAAAACAATGATCAAAGCTAAGACTTGAACGATGCGAACGAATTACCGAAGGGACAGCTGAGAATAGACTGTTCCAGGAGGAGGAAATGCCAGAGCACAGGCCAGCCGCTGGGAGTGTGCCTGGTATGTTTTACAGAGACCCAAATGCCAGCATGACCAGAGCAGCGTGAGATGCTGGAGCAGTAACAATAGAGGAATTTGGAGAGGTGACTGGAGCCAGCAGGCATATCATGTTCTGGGGAAAGTGTTGGCTTCTGAAAAGACCCCAGCTTCTCATCTGAGTGAAATGCAGAGCAATTTTATGCCTTTGATCAGAGATGGAAAATGATATGACAGCTGTTAAAGAACCTGTGCGTGAGGGTAAATGTAAAAGCTGGGAGCCATGTTAGAGGGTTTTGGCCATAATCAGATAAGAAATGATGAAAATGGGCACATACAAAAACTGTACAGCAAAGCACATACGTGCAGAAAATGTCAAGACTTTTCTAGTAAAAGCAGGTAAAAAACAAGGACATGCACTATTCCGTTCCTATTCAATGTTATCATAGAGGTTGTAGCCAATACATACCAAAAAAGAAAAAGAAAAAAGGTAAAGAAGTAAGAATGTTAAAAAGAAAAAACACCCCAATCTATATTTTCAGCATAAAGGTATATGTAGAACTCCCAAGGATGGTACAGATGATTATAGTGCTGACAATATTCCGATGACAAAATAAATATCAGGGTAAGGATTCTTTTAAATATTTCATTTATATACACAAGCAGTTGAGAAATTAAAAAGATTCATATAAAAAGTCAGGGTAAAATGTATCAAAAAGGACTATAATTACTAAGACATCCTAATGAAAAAATTATAAAACATTATTAAATGACACACAAATAGACTGAAATAAATGAAAAGATAGTGCATGCTCTTAGACAACTGTTCTCCATAAATAGATTATTTCCAATGCACTTCCATAAAATTCCAACCAATTTTATTTTTTTGACCTTCACAAAAATTCTTTAAAAATGTATATGTAATTGTAAATATCCACAAATACCCAACATATTCTAAAGAAAAAGTCGTAGGCTTGTCCACATGTATCATATATATAATTGTATTCACACGTATT